CACTTGCACATGTGAGTTTGTGAAAATGTGCTAAATAAAATAAGGATAAAATGTTAGTTTCACTTATTTGTCTTTAAACTGAGCTGCCAACTTCTGGTTTTAGTATTCAACACACACACTGAAGGAGCTCAAACTAAAGCTCTCTGGATGAAAAACACCAGAAAAACATTGTGCTGCAAAAACAATACATTCAAATCTGCTAACTGCTTCCCTTTAAAATCCATGCATTCAAACCTTCTTTAATGGACTATTTGGTTTCCACACAAACAGTGCCAACACTTCACGTCACATCTGTTTCACTGTATCACTTAAACTTTAATGCCGTCATAATTCATTACTTTGACTCACAGCAAGAAAATCTGCCCTAAAATGTGGTTAAAATACACCAGAAATACACCAGAAATACACCGGTGTCTCACAGGGCTAATGCTGGCACGTCGTTTAAAGAATAAGTGCAAATTTTTACTTTTTCACTCAGACTTGCGTACAAGTTTGGTGAAAAGCATGACACACGGGCGTCTTTTTGAGCCGTTTCAACACCATAGCATGGTAATGGGTTAAGGTATTGGGCAGCAGTTAACCGAGCATCATTAAACAACAAATAGGAGTGCCTGTAGGGGTTTAAAACCTGTGTGGATCACACACAAATATATAATATTCATGCACATTTTTATGTCGTGATTTCATCACAAAGAGCTTTAATTTTCTCACAATTCATTGTTGGTTTACTCTCATGTTAGTAACAACGTATTCTACATATATGCCTGTGATGACTCTGTAAATATTTTAAGACAATTTGTCTTTTAATGTTTATGAAGATCTTCAAAATTGTAGAGAAATGAAGCCATGCAAACGATGTTAGCCTTGCTTTAGCCAGCAGCTGCAGTCTAGTAAAATCCTGATGCTAAGTGTCATCTTATTTAAATAGATAATAGATCCAGTGAGTTCATTAGTATGTGAGACGCTAGTATGATGAAAAGTGGAGTTGTTATATCTAATATTTCTGAAGACAAAATTGGACACACATCTGGGATTTCTGACATTTTCTGCCAAGCTGAACTTAAAATAAAGTGCCTGCAGAGTGAGTTTCATTTTAAATGTCACGAAAGGAAACTTGTGAGAAGAAAAGAAACCATTTTATCTGGAAAAGCTGCGAGTGCGAACCCCCCGGAGACCCCCCTTTTGTTTTTCTCCTCCACTGGCTCATCGTGGTTCACTTTTACACACTCCCTTCTTTCTACTCACAGCTTTTTGTTCAGTTAAAACCTGATTTCTGCAGACCTATAAATATATAACCACTGCTCCGTAATCATACAAATAATTACACGTTTGTATGAACACACAATCTGCTGCAGGGCCTATGTGTGACAGAGTCATCGTGAGAGCAGCGTCTGCACGAAGCATGGCTCATGTAACTCGGAGGCAAAGACAAGTCAGGGTGTAGTAAAGCTGCTGCTGTCTCCTCTGCAGGACCCAGTAGGCATAAATGCAGGGTCTCAGTTAAATATGTGTATATATATATATATATATATATATATATATATATATATATATATATATAAATAAATATATATACACACACACACAAAGAGAGAGCAAGAGCAAGAGCGAGAGAGAGAGAGAGAGAGAGAGAGATAGGAATTTGTGTGTGTGTGTGTGTGTGTGTGTGTGTGTGTGTGTGTGTGTGTGTGTGAGTGTGTGTGTGTGTGTGTGTGAATTATTTTGATTATTTCCAGGAATTCTGCTCTGTGTCACATTTACCAGAAGACCTCTTAATGACCCCACGCATTCTGAAGTTTATAGAAAAGTTTTTGTTGGGTTTCACCGGGAGCTACATTTCAGAAGAGCATGGTGGTGGTAGTGTAATGTTCTGGGGCTGCTTTGCTGATTCAGAGCCTGGACCATCTGCTATAACTGATGGAACCATCAACTCTGCTCTCTACAAGAGAGTCCCTGACCTTTGACCTGAAACTGATTCATGCTGGAAAACCCCTCTCATGTAGCTGAAATAAAACAATTCTTTAAAAAGGACTAGGACAAAATTCCTCCACAGAGATGTGAGAGACCCTAGTCACTTTGCCATTGTGTCCTTGGGCAAGACACGTCACCTGCCTTGCCTATGTGTGAATCTTAATGGGTCATGGGGTCGTGGCTTCTTCAATGGTAACAATGTAAATCATCAGAGTGTGGGGTGGACCTTTTTCATAGCTGTGGATAGCTGAAATGTTCATTTTGAAATCTGGACCGTGTTTATGACAAAAAAAGCAAAAACAGAAGAAACCCACTTTCTCAGCATTGTGTATAAATTTAATGTTGAACTAAATTCAGTTTATGTATAAAGATATACACACGACTCCTCTTTTTAATCCAGGGTGGGATTCTTCCTGCAGACTGCCTGGGACACCATAAGTGGATAGATCCGTGAGGACAACGCCAGACTGCAGAATAAGACTTGGCTTGGATTATAAGGCGGAGGCAGGAGAACAGAGAGGCTGAAGAGAGCCTTCTGCCACCAAGAGTCTCGGGATGAAACGTGTGTGCGTGTGTGTGTGCGTGAGTGTGTGTTTTGAGGAGCATACAGCAGGACACAAAATCGACAATTCGCTGTGAGCTTGGAGCTGAAAGAAGCACACTGAGAATAACGCCGTGATGAAGACAGAGCTGTGAAACATTCTGCAGATTTTCTCCCAACAAGCTCCGTTCCACCGCTCTATAATCACTCTGAGAACAACGTGACTGTGTGCTCATTTACTGACCAAAAAGCTCATCGAACGCATCTACCTTTGATACACACATAAACCAAACACTGATGGATTTAAAACTACAGAGGAACATCTGCAGGGATGGGGAGGGGACTCTGCTAATGGGTGACAGTTGACTAATCACACAGAATGAACACAATCTGTGCAGCTATCTAATGCCTCGTGTGGGCTGCTACTTCCACTTTGATGAAAAGACCTCTCCATTAAACGGTGAGAAAGGAGCTCACAGCAAAAAAAAAACATTTCAGATTATTTAGTCAGCTAATTGATCCTTGAGCACATTAGATTTTGTTCTGTTGTTGTTAGCCTCTCATCTCGCCGTGGCCTAAACAAACTAGAGCTCCTCTCAATTACATCTCACATTAGAGTAGATGTGTTATTTCCACGAGAAGCCATTATTAGCGTCACCATTCTTTCTATTAGAGGTGCAGACCCACCGACAGGATAATAAATACAGAAAGGATTTTGGAGGATGAAACAGAAGCGTCTGTGGTAATCAGCCTCCAGGTGCCTTGCTCGTCGGCTCGTGTGGAGCCTGTAGATGACCGTCAGTGTCAGTCTGACTCACCCTGGAAAAAGCACAACCTGCCTGAGAACTCGCAGCTCCCAGCTAAAATCAGAACGACTGCATGTCTGAAGCAGGCGATGAGCTGCAAGATTCCTACCCATCTTTTTCTAAATGCCGTGCTTTTACCCAGACAACGCTCAAGTCATTTAGAAATGTTTCCAGGGACTTAATTTAGTTGTTTATGCACCACATGGATGTTGCTGTCCCCATGCACCCTGTTTCATCTAGACTCTGCGTTAGAGTGACAGTAGACTTTAACAATATGAGTTAACAATGTGAGTGGTGGAAACAGGTCTCCTTCTAGAGGATCCCAGTGTTTCCACAGGCCTGAGAGTGTTGGGTCTGCTCTGGTGTCTTCTCTCAGGAGGATGTGCCTGGAGAACCTCCAAAGGAAGGCAACCAGGAGGGATTTTAATCAGATGCCTAAACTGATTTAATTTTATGAGGATGAGCAGCAGCTCTACTCTGAGCTGCCACCAGATGACAGAGCTCCTCGCCTTATCTCTGAACCCTAAGGAGAACCAGACTCGAGCAACTCCACCAGCATCCTTGGTGATGAGGCTCTAGTCTTTAGGTCCATTTCTCATTTCATCCGTCAGTCACGAGCAAGAGAAATTCCTCCGTTTGAGACAAAGACTCACCTCCAAACAATAGGGACAATATGTTTGAGCTATTTAGCAGGATTTGAGATATTTCTTTTCTGGGACACAAAGAGAGGTGGTATGGTGCAGTTGCATAGCTGACTCACACCAATAAGGTTGCTGGTTCAACTCCTGAATAAGGTTTGCATTTGTGGGTTTTCTTTCGGTACTCAGATTTCTTCCTACAGTCCACAAAGATGCTGAGTAGGCTAAAAGGTATAGCTGTGTGTCCCTGTAATGGACCGATCATGTGGTCTGCCCACAGGAGACAACAGCTCCATTAGAGAGGATCAGACAGGTACAGAGGATGGATGGAAACGGTCTGGACACATACATGTTTCCCCGTACTTATCCGGAGCAGTAAAGCACTCACAGGAAATCCCATAAAGGCATCAGATTCTTTAGACTAACCACTGTTGGACTTATATGGCACAGCTGCATTGGTTGGGGGCGCTTTTATGTAGCCTGACTGACACGGCTCAAAATAAATGAGGTTGAATTTAACCCTGAAATCCCGCAAAAGAGGCTGAGTGCGTTTAGAGGGCGCAGAGGTCACGGCGTGCAGCTGCCGGGCTAGCGGATTTCCGACAAGGCGCACTTAATGATTGCATAACACGCTCGGAGTTCCCACTGCAGCTGGCTGGAGGAGGAAACGCTCGTGTTTGTGGCGTGAGCAGCCGCAGCTCTACTGGTGTTTTTTTTTTTTTTTTGTTCCCTGAGCGGAATGTCATCTGAAGGGTACCGAATAGAGGAGCAGAGGAACGGACGGACAGACACTGAACGTGGTGCCAATGGCCGCGTCCCGCTTCCTGGAAGGCTGGCTTAAGCGTCGGGAGGCTGAAACTTGAGTGATGAGTGATTGTTTTGGTGCAGTACTGCACCACGGCGGGGGTTCACCATTTCAGCACCAGGACAGCGCCGGGTGGGCAGCTGCTCCACGAGACGGGTTCGGCTCCAACACAAACACACACACCCTGATTGGAGCAAACGTCCAAACACCCAGGCGCGCGGGACGCCGCGTCCTCTTACCTGAGTAGCTTTGTGGAATTGCTTCTTCAGTCCCGCCACAGACATGATGAGAACTTCACGGCGGCTTTAAATGGAGGGGATAAAAAATAACCTAAAGCTGCTGGTTCGATCAGGGTAGTTTCGGTCCAACCCGATCTGGACTCGATCTCGCAGCCTTGGCTAACCCCAGTCTACGCTGGTCTTCTCCGGAGGGATCTCCTGTGTGTGAAGGGGAGAGAGGATGAGTAAAGTCCCGATCAGGCCATTGGACGGCACAGTCTCACGTGTCTGAAACGGAACACGCTGTGACGTCAGAGTACGCTGCGTTTAAAGCAGCCGCATCGGTACCACGGCCGAACCCGCTGATCTCAAAAAGGGGAGCGGATACTTTCTCACCTGAGGTCAGTTACGCAGTTGACGTAGAATTTATTTTCTCATTAGTTTCGCTTTCATCTGCAACAAAAAGCTAAAGTCGTGTTTCTGCTTATCACGAGTAATTATTAGGATGGTTGTTGGACTCGGTTGTAGCTCTGCTGATGAGATGCGCCTTCAGCACCATGGACAGCACCGGTGTCACACCCAAATGTTTCCCCCGCGCTCCATTTTCTTCCCACCTTCTGTTGGTTGAAGTAGAATCAATTCTATTTTAATCAAGTTGCTAAAAATAAATCCTATTAATTTAAGACACATTTACCCCTTCAGAACAAGAAACGCACCCAGACTGGTTCCTCTGTGTGGGAAAACAAGCTCTCCTCAATCACACACGACTCATAAAGTAAATATCCTGAAATGTTAATTCTTCAGAGCAAATTTGTACATTTTAGCAGGAAAACTTTATTTCACAAGGGAAACCATGTCGACATAACACGGGTCAAAGAAGACACTTGGTCTCAAAAGGAAACATCTAGGTCATCTAAATATCATCCAAACAAAATCCCAGTGACTAGCGCTTGATTCTAAAAACAAATAAATTAAACAAACAAACAAACTAACTAACTAACTAACTAACTAACTAACTATTAACCTCCCAAAGTGGTGAGGAAAGTCATTATTTTAGACAAACCCCACTAGGACAGGAAGGCGTAAAAGATGAGTTATCACCTATCTAAAATAAAACAAAGTGAAGGATCACTTATGTGATTTGGGCAGGTGAGAGCTCTGACCTCATTATGATTATCTACACAGCCTGGCCAAAAAGAGTCACCAACTGGATTTAACTAAGCAAATAGGTACGAGCCTCCTATTGGACTTCAAATCAGACCCTGAAAAGTTGTAAAGAACTCACTAAACTGTTCTCCAGAGCTCACATGGTCATTCAGAAGTTAACATAAAGAAATTATATGAATGACCAACTTCGCCCATGTGAGAGTATCCTGTAGCCATCATACACTGGTTATCTTCTCAGTCCTTACAGCCCCAGCAGGTCCCTGAGGTCCAGTGATCAAAGCCTACTGGTTGTGCAGCACCAGGCTAAAGACCAAAGGTGACAGATCATTTGCTGCTGTGGCCCCCAGACTCTGGAACTCTCTCCCCCTGAGCCTGACATCAATGGTCTCCTTTAAAAAGCTGATAAAGGTTGCTAAAGAAATAAAGTAAATTTTTTTGGCTTTGAAATTGAATATAACTTCCAAACGATATACTTGTGTAATTGTGTAAAGTAAAAAAAAAAGTAAATAAAAGGCAGCTGGCTGACTTGTTCAGGCTGGATTTTGCATGACCTTCAGTTGATTCTTCATCAACTTCTCCTAATTCTGCTCTTTCTACCAACTCTGCTTTCCCCGGGATCCACTGATCACCTCTTTCTTATTCAGTTTCTTTTCCCCTTTCCTCACTTTTTTAATCACAATTTTTACTTTTCCCATTATTATGATTGTTTTAATAATTTCTTAATCTTTGTTCTTGTAACAACCAGGGCTGGAGGACCCGTGAAAGCACCAGACACAGTAAGACGCTTTAAAGTTTTTATTAGGGAACACACAGGGGAGTGTTACCAGTCTGTAGGAAGGGCAGAAGCAGAAGGCTTGGTCAGGAGGGGAAATCCATGGCAGAGTCCATGTAACAGATCCAAGGTCAGGAGTCCAGAAGATCAGAAACTATGAGATAATCCAGTCAGGGAGCAGGCAGGTGGCAAGGTCGAGGTTCAGAAGCAAGGTCAGGAACTTGAGGTTTAGGCAGGGTTTTAGAATGCTGGAGAATCTACTAGCAAAATGCTTTCAATAATCTGGCACTGGCTTGGTGTTTTTCCTGATGTTATATAGAGGTGGTTGCAGGTGGAGCTGATGAGTTAATGTGAGACAGGCGGTTTGAATCAGGTAGATGATGAGCTGGTTGTGGTTGCTGGGGAAACCGGGCCTGGCTGGAGCGGTGGCATGACAGTTCTTTTAAAGCGCCTTGTGATTTTAATCTTGAGAAGCGCTTTTTTAAAGATAGTTTCTTCTTCTACCAGTTTGATGGAGCATGTTGTCTCATTCCAACGTGTTTTAATTGCTGTTTTTCTAACATAAAGCCCCAGTTTAAGTTAAGAGAACTTAATTATAATCTGGTGGGCTGCAGAAGATTTAAAGCCATTACAACATCAAGGCTGCTACGCGAGCTTGGCGTGCGGGGCCAGGGTCATCGGTGGGCGATGAAGGTTCCCTTCAGAGCTGCTGAAAGGAGCAGCCAGTGGCCCCAGCTGAAGAGAAAGGATGCTAGCTAGGCCTCGGCTCGGTAGACGGCGCCTTGGCAGTGAACGTGGGACGCTAGGAGTTACTGCTTAACTCTCTGGAGACGTCATGGACCTATCAGCGAAGTGTTGAGGAAGGAGGGCGCCCACTTCAGAGCCAGCCCAAGTCAGCTGACTATCCCAGAGTCCAAGCTGCTGGTTTTATGTATGCAAGTAGGGATTATGACATCTAGTCAGAAAAACTGGTGTGTGCTGTTTTGTCCTAAATGTCAAAAAGAAGCTGACGTAAGAAAATGCTCAAATTTTACTCAACTCCAGCTTTATTTCTAAAGCACCTTACAGGCACAGGGTGACAGGCACATATTAGTAACACCAGGCAAGCATTAAACCAACAATAAAATAACAAAAAAAAAGAAAAAAGAAATTAAAACAGCTTACAAAGTGCACTCATAAAAGAAAATATAAGCAGACAAACATCTTTAAATTTACTGGAAAAAAATATAGTTTTTATTCTCTAAAGCCACCACGATTCAAAGCTGCTCCCTAAGGATGTCTTCTAGCCTAGTCCACAGCAGGGATTTTTGCCTTAAAGAGAAGGGATGGCCCAAGGGCTGCATTCCATTTAGAAGTCCCTGTTATTGGTGACAGACACTGCTATTCAAAAGGAACATAATCTTTACTGATGCAAGGGATGGCCACACTTACAGGAGAATTATGACCTATTCATAAAACTTACTAGGACATAATAAACTGTCCATATAGATCATATTAATACACATTTTAAAATAAAATCAGTCTATTCTCTCTCCACTGTTAAATGTTTTAATAATAAAACATTATTATTAATGTTTGTTAAATGCAGATTTAAAGTTAAACAGTCTGTAGGTGTTTCATCGGTTGTCATGCATAAAATAAAAGGTGTGCAGACTTTACACAGAGAAGGAGAATCAGATCATCACATCAGAAGAAACACATTTTCCCCCCTAAGTTAGCGATGCACAAGTGAGATGTGGATGTGATAGAATAACACACCTGTTCATCCCCTAAGAAGCAGCATGTCCAGCTGATGACTAATTTATAATCAACAATTTCATAAGGAGATTTCTGCTGCCTGGAAGAGAAGAAAGTGATGTTCACAAACGAGACAACTGAACCAAACGTGTTCGCATCTGCAGCTGTAAATATAAACCTTAAACCATGTTTTTAAATATAAATAATGAACTCTAAAAGAGAACTTTACACTGCCTGGCTTTTTAAAATAATATAAAGATACTTTAAAGCGACTTAATTTGTTTGCAGAGCTGAAACGGCCACGCAAAAGCAAACAACCTATGCGCACAGCATTAATTAAGTCTCTGGAGGAAGGTGCGGCAGAAAACACGAGGCATGCGCATCTCCACAACAGCAAAACATTCCACAATGTGCTGCAGCTCAGATGTGCTTCTATACTGAACCTGGCCGGGGTGAGAATGCATAAATGCATAGGAAACCCACATAGTATAAAACTGCTAATGGCACACACACACACACACACACACACGCACACGCACGCACACACACACACACACACACACACACAGCTAATGGCACACACACACACACATGCACACGCACGCACACACACACACACACACACACACACACACACACACACACACACAGCCTGGAAACTGGAAAAATTTGAATATGGTGAAAAAGTCCATTTATTTCAGTAATCCATCCTAGACTGAGAGACCATCTAAAGGCTCGGGAACCCTTTGCAGGTGTTTTGGATTCATTAGCTGATTAGAGTGTGACACTTTGAGTCTAGATTGTTGAACTTTTTCACAATATTCTAGTTGTCTGAGATGTTCAAGGTGGGGTTTTCATAAGCTGTAAGCCATAATCATCACAGTTATAACAAATAAAGACATGAAATATCTAACTTTGCATGTAATGAGTCCATATCATATATTAGTTTTACCTTTTAGGTTGGGTTACTGACATTAAATAAACTTTTGCACCATATTCCAATTTTTTGAGCTTCAGCTGTAAACGAATGAAATGAGAAATATGTAGGCAGAATCTTAAATTATTCCTGTTCTTTTTACTTTTTTTGCTCAGATGTTTGATCCTCGTTATCTTTTTGTGCAGTCCCCAGATTAAAGTAAACTTTATTATAAAGTAAATTTAAATGCATCAGAGTTTGTAGCATTAATCAGGAGCGACAATGTGCATTTAAATGATAGTGTCGCCATCTTGTGGAGATTTCTTTGAACAGCAAGTAGCATTTTTATTCAGACAGTTGAAAAAAGACAAAATAATAAATAGCGGTGTGGTTCCAGAGTCAAATGTACTGAAAATTGAACATAAGTGGTGAATGTTTGAGAGGTCATTGAGGTAAAGGATGGAAAACGTTAACTCCCTCTAGTTGTCGGGGTTTTTCACAAAAATGTCAGCATAACATCTGTAAAGGATTTTATATACATGCATGTATAAATGTGTTTGATTGTGAAATATAAGTTTAAAAACATTAAAAATTGCAATAATGTAACACTAAACAGCAAACATATTTTACTTCTGTGTACTTCAGTACGCAACACGCGGAGCTTTGCTGCCATCTAGTGGTAAAAAATGATAAAACAGATCATCTGAATGAGAAACAGCCCCTGCAGCTTTTTGACAGCTCATCTGAATGGATTGTTGCGTCAAATGAAACCAGAAAAACCTAAAGTAGAAGAACATTTCACAACACTGAGTGCATCACCCAAGGAACAAGAAAAAAATAGTTTTATTAGAGAAGTTATTACTGACCAACAGAAAATGACATGGTTGTGCTTATTTCCTCTGGCAGCTCTGACAAAGTGCTCAGGCCTGCAGGTCAGTGATCGGTGTGTGAGCTCTCACCGCCTCAGGTGAGCACCCATTCCTCTCAACTCCAGAAAAAATCAATCACACCTGAACGATAAGATCAGAACAAAACTCAACACTAATGCATGAATGATGTCACTGGACTTATGGTATAACTAATATGTTATTTTGAAGTTTTCGTATTTTTAGGGCTGTACTGTGTAATTACCCCATGTTGATGGTGAGAACCTTCGTCTACCCATATGTGAATGTTTTAAGTCAATGTTCCCTATTCAGAATTAAATTAGGATTACCGAATTTGTAATTATTTTAGTGTTCAAAATTAGTTAAATATTCCTTGATGTCAACAGGTCAAATGAGTTCATTCAGATGTAAATTTATTTTAGGATTCACGGTTGTTCTGCTGCACCAGTAGTATACCTATACTCCTCTGTATCACTGGTGACCCGTTCAAACACGAGTCCTGTGAAGGCCTCACCAAACCACTAAAATCTGCTACCTTCATTCACCATAACTGGTCTTTAAAACCCATTAAGAACTTATCAGCTATTTATTCATAGTTTATTAGCTCCTGTTTAGTTCTGAGGCACCAAAGAAAAATAAATTAATTATATTTTTATATATTTAAAATGGAAAAAAGATTAGCTGAGGGTCATGGCTATATTTCACCAGTGATCTCATCGTGTGAACGATGGCTTTATGTATTTTAGTAGCGTGTGGAGAATCTGTTAGGAAACGGAAAGAAAACAGCTGACAAAGGGCCATTTGTCATGCATATGCTTCCTCTGTCACCTGAGATGCACAGCTAACGCACGCCAGCCTGTGATCATGTGTTTGTGTGTGTTTCATGAGGTCCACCAATCCCTGCGCCATCCTTCTCCACTCAAACATGCTAATGTACCTGTGCTTGGCTCTAATTGGTCCCAGTGATGCTCACCCTGCTCCACCTGTGCTTGTGGAAGCCTCCAGTCAGTCCTGCAGTCAGGCCCCTGCCGCTGTGTGCGAGCATGCAGTGCTAATATTATGCAAACAAACACTTTGTTGTTTGGCACTTTTTACACCAATCGGCCACTGTGGAAGACTGGGAGAGGGAGTAAGTAAATGGGGAAAAATGGATAGAAAGGAATGGGTGGATTTGGGGAGGGTTCATGAATTCATTAGTGTGATTACCTGAGGTGTGCTACTTTACAGGGGGGCGGGGGTAATCTGCCAGCCTGCTGCATACCCTGCAAACTTCAGCCAGCCTGCTAATGAGCACTTGGAAAAGTTAGTCAAGGTGGAGAGGTGCTTTGAGGGGCTTCGTGTCCCACACCATGGTGTTTTTATAAATGCTAAAGCAGAAAACAAAGAATGGCGGCATTTTCTATAACAAAAAGGACAAAGAAAGGCTGATGCTGTTTTAGAATGTCTTTTTAATCATAAACTCACATGAAAAAATTACAAATGTAACACTTTACAAGTAGGGTCCCTTTATTAATGCTACTTAGTGCATTATTAAACTATTAAATAAGGTATTAAAACTGCTTAACTATAATTTATAATGCATTACTAAGTGCAACCCCCCCTCCCCCATAATAGTTGACAATAATGGGACTATTAATAAAGGGACACTTTGTTTATTAATGCTTAATAATGCCTTAGGTAACATCAACTCGAGGACCCTTAATGCAAAGTGTTACAAAAATGTTGAAGATTGCCATATAGAACTCAATGTCAAAAAGTTTGTTAGTGGAAGAAGTCCATCCATCCATCCATCCATCCATCCATCCATCCATCCATCCATCCATCCATCTTCGGTCGCTTATCTGGAGTCGGGTCGCGGGGGCAGCAGCCTAAGCAGGGAGGCCCAGACTTCTTTCTCCCCAGCCACTTGGGCCAGCTCCTTCAGGGGAAATCCTAAGGCGTTCTCTGGCCAACCCAGAAACATAGTCCCGCCAGCATGTCCTGGGTCTTCCTTTAGGTCTCCTCCTAGTTGGACGTGCCCAGAAAACCTCACCATGGAAGCGTCCAGGAGACATCCTGACTAGATGCCTGAGCCACCGCAACTGACACTTCTCGACGTGGTGGAGCAGCGGGTCTACTCAGAGCCCCTCCCGGATGACAGAGCTTCTCACCCTATCTCTAAAGGAGAGCCGAACCACGCTCAGGAGAAAATTCACTTTGGCTGCTTGTATCTGTGATCTCTTTATTTCGGGCACAACCCAAAGCTTGTTTTCATAGATAAGGGTAATTCCTTCTGACAGGAGACTATCAGACATTCCCAGCAGACCCTCATGATACATTTGGGACTGCCAGCTCTGACCAGCGTCCTCCCCCACCGTTGAAGCTAACTCACCACCAGGTCAGTTGACAGGTACACTCCTCTCTTCGCCCGAGTGACCAAGACCAGTGTCCGCAGATCAGACGAGACGACAACAAAGTCAATCATCGAGCTGCGGCCTAAGGTATCCTGGTGCCAAGAGCACCTATGGACACCTTAATGCCTGAACATGGTGTTCATTATGGACAATCTATGACGAACACAGAAGTCCAAAAGAAAAAAAAACACTGCCTGGATTCGGATCGGCGAGGCCGTTCCTCCCAACCACACCCCTTCAAGTCTCACTGTCATTTCACATGTGAGTGTTAAAGTCCTCCAGCAGAATGAGGGAGTCACCAGAAAGAGCGCTCTCCATCACTACCCGAGGACTCCAAAATGGGTGTGTAGTGCGAACTGTACTTTGGTGCAAAGGCACAAACAACAGTCAGGACCCCCCCCAATCACCCACACCCACACACAGGGAGGATACCCTCTCATTCACCGAGGTAAACCACAACGTACAGGCACCAAGATGGGGGTGGAGGGGCGCAACTAGTATGCCCAACCCTGCTCGTTGCCTCTCAGTGGGAGCACCAGAGTGGTAGAGTGCTCAACCCCTCTGATGGAAACCAGAGCCATGTGTTGAGGTGAGTCCAACTAGATCTAGTTGAAACCTCTCAACATTGCACACCAACTCAGGCTCCTTCCCCACCAAAGAGCTGACATCCCACATATCGAGAGGCAGCTTCTGTAGCCGAGGACCAGACTGCCAGAGTCCCTGCCTTCGGCTACCACCATCACACATTGCACCTGACCTCTTTGGCCCCTCCTACGAGTGGCGAGCCCATTGAAAGAGGGGACCCAACTTTGGGCTATGCCCGGCTGAGCTCCATGGGTGAAAGCCTGGCCACCAGGCACTCGCCAATGTGCCCCAACTCCAGAGGGGGCCCCGACGACCAACATCCGGGCAAGGAACGACTGCTTCCACTGATACTTTTCTTCATAAGGGGTCTGTTGGCTGCATTTTGACTGACCACTCACCTAATACTCACCAAATAGCACTCACTTCATTCCTCCTGTGTTTTTCGTTTGCCTTTATCAAACTGCATCACACCAATAAACTAAAAAGCAATCAAAAGTAAAAGCACACATGAAGTGTCAGAGCGGGTCATTTTGTTACGATGATTGGTCAAATTCAAGTGGATGAAAATGGGCAGACACCAATATAGCTGCGTTACCGGTGTTAGTGCGCAAATTGGATGTCATCTCGGAGAGGGTCACTGGACGGTGTGGAGATGTTTAATCACCGAATTGACTTCACTGGAGGATTTGAATGATCAATACAGACTTTAAGGCAGAGAGGAAATTTATCTCTGCCTGACCCAAACAAAGTCTTCTTATCCAATCTGACGCCATAAGCAGCCTTGGAGTTGTGTGCAAAAACCCCCACGATGGAAGGAATGCAGACAAATGCTGTGAAAACCCTACCTACCCCCCCCACCTTCAGATTGTGGTCTCTGCCTAGCGAGGTCATCAAGTTGGAGGCACTCACTGTGCTCTGTGCTTTCCCGTGACCTCCCTCCCACCTGTGGATTCAGTTGGCCGAGCGCCACACAGGCTGCTCCCGCTGAGGAAACCAGGGTCCCAGCGCCCCCCCCCCCCCCCCACCCCCCCCACCGGGTCTCATGTTGTGAACTGTGACGTTCGTGCTTATATGTTGGGTGTTTTTTTGCACAGTAGAGCTACACCCTACCGGTGTAGCTCTGTTAAGGCCTTTTTCTCCCTCCCCGAACTCTCCTCATGTAATCCCCTCTTCATCTACTGAAATGAGCGCCGTATGGCTGCTCTCGCGGTCTGCCTGTATCTGTCCTGTCTATATGTGTGCATGTAATCTTGGTCAGGCTGTACTGTGGAGTCAAGTTCCTATGCTCTGGATCACTGGCAATAAAATTCTTTCTCATTCTGATTAGTATTACGGCCTCACAACAAGTCTGAGAACCAAAAAGGAGCATTGCAGTCTAGTTTATCTTAACACATAAAGTAGTGACACTGTGACTTGTTTTATTCAAAAGACCTTTTTTCCACATCATTTCAGAACACACTTGTGATATAAATCACACGGGCTCTAGAGGGTTCAGGTAGCCGCACCGAAGAGAGCCTCTGCTCTCAGAGGTAATGTTGGCTTTAGCAGTCTGCGAGTAAAAGTCCAGATGAGCTCCTCACTCATTCTCCCTTCTCTCTTTTTTCTCCCCAGGAGCTGAAGCTGCGGCTTTAGAAGAGACGGCTGTCATGAGCAAGACTTAGGACACCTCGTGTGGATGGAAGAAGAACGAATGTCAAATGAAAGTGCAAGAAGAGCTTGTTTACTTTTAGTGCACAGCCTGAATATGACATGTATATACAGTATGTATCAGACATGGTTACATTCTCCTACTTCTTGCCCCGCGCCTCTAGTTTATCACACTACATCAAAACATTGGCATATTCCCTTGTGTGGCTTGTCTTTTTATCTGCTCCACAGCTTCCCACGGCGGGCCGCATCCACCTATAATCTACTGCCGTTTCATGTCTGTAGCACCGAGGAAGATAAGGGACTTGTTCAAATGAAGATCAATGAGCTTTATACACAGCATCCCTGCATCACAAGCGCCTGACTCCTTTTTCTTTTGTCTCCCTCTCAAGGTGCCATCTGATCTAATATTAAAGAACATAATATAAGAAATATGGAGAAGCCAAACGGGGTTCCTGAAAGTTTGAATAATTACCGACAGTGCTGTTACTGAGCCACCTCTCGGAGGAGAGACAATGAAAACAGTAAACATGTTGCATTATAGATTTGTCAAAAACACATTTGGCAGTTTGTCACTAGTACCTTGTTATTTAAGTCAGTGCCAAGTGTCTGCGGCAGTGAAATCAAAGCAGACTGATGTATTGGCAGCAATAGATGGAGCGTGAAACTGTGTCAGAGAAGTAAGGGAAATCCCCTGCGACTGTTTTCCTTTCACTCCACATCTGGCTGACGAAATCTGTAAGGACTAATTGTGTCTGAGTTGGAGGCTGAAGAAACTCTTATTTAGTACATTTTTACTTTAGTTTCCATCAATGTGCGTTCCCACCCGAGTGGCACGAGCTCACACAAGACCAAAGAAATCATCGACTGAGCCTAAAGTCAGCCCAGACTACCTCTGGCTGTTCAGGAACAAATACAGAAAAGCTGAATCAAAAATAGTTTTGCTAAAAAAACACAGAGAAAGGGGATAGAATGACACCAAGATAAATACATTAAAGTGCAAAGGGAGGAAAACTTTGCATTTTGAGCGACTGATCAAAGTTGTTCCCACAGGAAATCTCCTTTAATGAGATCTATACAAGAAAAGAAGGGAGGAAGACAAGAAAAGGAGGTACCATTCCTACACAGAGGAGAGGGATGAATCATCTAGGATGCCTGGTGTGTATTGGGTGAGGAGGTGGCGGTGGGGTGCTTTTCAAGATCGTTTTAACGTCTTCACTGTGGGAGCGTCAGAGGCAAGGCCAGGTTAATTAAACCCACGGGAGGAGCAGCTGAGGAGGGTGGGGAGCACATTTGAATATGTCACAGAAATAGCACGAGTGTGTCAGCCAAGGCCGGATGGCGGAGCACGGCGAGCAAATATGTTGACTATGCATTAAAGGGAGGAGAGAGAAAAACAGACTGTCAGAAGGAAAAAGGTGGGAGTTGTGGGGAGGTAGGTACTGATAATCTGCTCTTCGCGTGCCACCGGATTCCTCTGCGTTATTAATGTTTGTCATTAGCAGCTTTGCGCTGGAGGACAGTGACTAGAGAGAAAGAAAAAAGTGCTGAAGAAATTTATTTGGGACAAATATTGACAATAGCTGGCTCCTGGGTACGAGAGAAGAAAAGATGCAAACTATGTTAATGAATGGTAATTAACCACTGGGGTTCGGCTCTTCTGAATCACAGCTAAATTGGTCCCTGAGTTGCAGCTAGAGACAGTCCTGGCCTAATCCTTTATTATAAAAAGATAAAGGAAAACGACATAATTAGCATATATTTGTGAAGGGAAGGGGGGGGGGGGGGGATTAGAAAGTGGAATTATTTCTTTTTAATTCCTGAACGGAGGATTTCTCACACATTTTTAAAATTAAACATGGTAATAAAAGAAAGTGTTAAAGGAGAAAACAAAGCTGAGAAAAGTAAAGAGGTGAGCTGAAAGGAGGAGAGCTGGGGCTCCTGTGTGGGAAGCCAACTCAAGGACGGAGGATACCAGGATCATGATTACATATTCAAAATGAATAATAAGAGAGGTAGGAAGAAAGGAACAGATAAAAGGAACGGGAAGCAGCTCTCCTCTAATAACACCCTGCTCCGCATGCGTGTGTTCATCCTGACTGTTATTAATGACGTCAGCAGCAGGGGTCACTTGTTACAGACAGGAACCATGCCAACAGGCAGCTGTCAATCACCAGAGGTGCAAGGATCCCACTGGCCCGCGGAGCGCCCTCGGTCACCATCGCATGCCGATCGACGGTGCTTTGAACTGCTGGGGTGGGAAAAATGCAAAAAGAACACCGAGACGGGCACAAACGGAGCAAAAACTGTGCAGAAATAAGATCATTTTATTGACAAATTATGACAATGTTTCTGTATGAATAAAATCTACTGAAGTTTAGCATAATTACCAAGTCAATGCTGCAACAGACATCTTTGCAGAGCATTTTAAAAACTCATTCAAAATCAGTTGAATCTAGTGTGTAAATATAAAAAGCTGTGCTCAGTTTGACTCTTTCCAAGTGTCAGTTTGGAAGTGCTGGGTCAAGTCCTCACACTCAGAAGCCCTCAAGGTGCCAAATAAATTAGGGGTGGTGGTAAAAGAAAGTTTATAAAAAATGTAATTTAAAGAGTAGCGTAAGCATTTGCCTTATTACCCCGGGTCCTCAGTGAGAGTGGCTGATCCGTAAATTAGCTTGGCACTAAAGGGGCCCCTGTCTGACAGACATACTGCACCGAGTGCTAACACAGATGTTGAGGGCTCATTTACAAAAGTCGGGGTGCTGCGTTGAGCCAGTGGCCCAGAGAGAGTCGACAGCACATTTTCCTCCCAAATATTGGTTCTGCTGCCCCGGCTCGGCTTGGCTCAGCCTGGCTCCCACTGAGCAGGAGCTGGGTAGGAAGAAGGTGGAAAAGGGGGGTAGAAAGAGAAGAGGATGACAGTTTTCCCAGCCTCAGCCCAGGGAGTCAGGCTTTTTCGCTGACTGGTGCTGCGAGCGCGGCCAGCTCTTCTGTCAGCACTTTCCTCTCCTTCATCTTCACGCGCACGGCCTCCATTAGCTGGCCGGCAGAGGGGATCTGCAGGGGAGGTGAAAGATAGATACAGGGTGTGTATGGGGTGGGGGGTGATGGGAAGTGTTGGAGAAAATGAGGAAAACATACCAATGCACCACTATTAAAAAAAAACACACATTTTTTTAGAAGCTTGGCAGCTTTTCAGAGCCTGTGTGCTGTTTTGTGAAACCCGAGGAGCCCAGATGGGGCCCGAGGACTCGTCAAACTTCTCAGGGACTACTGTATCTACCGTTTCCAACTGTAGCCATGTGCAGTGCATCACCTAGGCAACTCACAGTACCGAGCTGCAGTCTCAGGGCCAAATTTTACAGCTCGCTAATTCTACACTTCTGTTGTTGGTTGCTGATAAACACGTCTCCTGAGTATCAAACTAATGGTTTCTGTGCCACATGATTAGTTGTTTATGTAAACAAATTGCTTCTTTTGTGCACCCTGAACATGTAAAACTCCCCTTTGTTTCTAATGTTTTAATTGTGTAATAATCATAGGAAACCAGGAGATGACAGAAGTTAATAGAAACTGGTTTAGTGAACATTTTTCTAACCTAATCTGTCCGTTGATGGCAGAAACATGGCAACCCTGAGGTCATTTTTACAGAGCTGAGGACACACGTTCCATGGAAGTCTATCACTTTTGAACAAAAGCGCCTGGAGGTATAATTGGCATCACTGGGAACATTTACAGGATTGTTTGTGGTGTGAATCGCAGGATTGTGTCAATACTGGAACATGAAGAGGATGACCACGGATGTCCCTTAAATCATACATAATCACAAAAGGTTTGTCTGTTTGGTTTCTATGGAAAAAACAGGAAATGTTTAAATAAAAAGAGTGCATTTCTAAGAGGTATGAATAATAATAATAATAATAAATGGTATGTACTTCAAAATCTTCTTAATATTTTTACACAGGCCAAGTCACATGGCCTCTGGGAACGTTCCATAAGATAAAGTTACAACGTCAGAATTACTGGTGAAGTGTTATAAGGAAAGAAAAAACAAATGCCATGTGACCTGAAACCGTAATTTATCAGTTTCCGATACGCCTGGAGGGTGAGAACCTTAGACTTTAACACCTCAGTTGCTCCCACACACGTGCCCATTGCTCCTGCCCCCAACACCTCTTCTTCATTAAAGGTAAGAGGATCAGGCAACACAAGGCCTCATGTGCCGGGAAGTATGTGTGAAATTGTGCGCCATCGTGCGTGTGTGAAGTAGGGAGCTCGGATGCATCAAAAACACGGCGCTAGTCCTCAGAGAACCGCTACACTGAAGTAAGTGCTGAGACATCTCCCTCAGCCTTCATCCTCCAGGGAGGACTCACTCCCTGTCTCCTGCACACAGGCACACATTTCCCAATCAGCTAATTGCACTTAGAGCCACTAAGTATGCAAACAAACCCCACTAAAATAGAGACGCAGCCACAACACTGGCTCTGTGGGACAGCAGAGTGGGAGACTGGATCATTAAAAGTCCCAAAAAGGGAACATGGGTAAACAACTCTAACAGGTAAACATGAACTAGATAAATGTGAGCCAAAAACAGATGTTAAAACCAAGATAGAAATCCAGAATACTTTCTATTATTCTTTTAAAAACTTCATCTGGAGATAAAACCAACAAAGAAGCAACAACCCTCTCGTAATTACACCTTTCCATCAGGTATTTATCACAGCAGCATGTGTGAAGCTGCCTTTTACACTGACATCACCATGTGTGCGTACGTACATTACAATTAATTTCATTGTTGAAACAAATCTGTAAATCCATATTCGTGGTGAATAAATGCTCTCATGTGCTTATTAGCAATGCACGAAAATGGATCTTTGCACAAAAAAGGGTTTAATCCAAAATTAAAATTAAATGATCGAGTGTGTTGGGTGTGAGTAATAACACTGCATCCAGAGATTAAAACTGGGGGTTTTGGATCTTTAAACAGGCTGCTCTTACTTCTTAAATCCTAAACAATGCACAAGTAACTGAGGTAAGACCTGTAAAATTGTCCGAAAGTGCCGAAAGAATCTGACAAAACTGTGGTGCGTTAAACACCAAAGAGACAAGAGACAGATGTTCACAGATGCTGCAGACGCTCCTGACAACCTGCTTGGTGTTTTAGGCCCCAGAGAGAGGATTCTGATTGGCTGTTCAGCTTAGCGAATGAGCTCCGCTGTATGGTAATGTGACTGTGTTATTATTCATAATGGATAAAGTTTAGAGTTCTGCGTAAAAGGATGAACATAAAAGACAATTCATGTGTTAGTTTGAAGTGAAACGTGGATTTTCAGTAGGAGAATGTACGTGAGAGGTAATACCACGTTAAATATCAAAAAAGAAATGCAATGTTTTTGTTCAATTACAACGTCATTCTCTGTTGCAAGGCATTGCCTCGTACAAGTGTAGCTGATGCATCGGGACTGGCAGCTAAACACAGTGTTTGTGATGAGATTAAGTGCTATTTATCCCCCCAGATGCTGCTGATGAAAGGACACACAGCTGCCTGTTCCTGAAGTTTGTTTTGGACATGAGAGTTCTTAAGAAGCCAGCTGATATTAAATATAACCAAGTGTTGGACATTTTGGGGTTTATTTCTTGTAGTCCATTATATTTAATGTTTTTTCTTTTGATTTGCCACCTACATCGACAGATTCTGGCTAAAGTGCTTATCCATATGCCCACAACGGGGACGAGCCCCGACTATCATCTCCTTTCATCTAACTGCCACATTAGCTGGGGACTGATACCCTGCAGGATGGTTGGAGGTAAGCTCTGATGCAGCTGCTCTATGGGATCCCCTGGGCTGCTTAAGGCAGTGTTAAGAACTGGCACTAATGTTATGCTACAGTTGATTTTGCGGGGCCCCTGTCCCCTTTGGCAGAACTATCACTAGAACCACCGATAAGCAACCCAACCACTGTTTTGCAAGATACCCTGTCCCCCTTGGCAACACTAAAATAGCTACTGTAGCACTAAGCCATGCTAACTTACATCTATTACTATTCAACAGGCCCTGCAGAGAAGACCTCTTCTTTTGGTAGGTGATTTCAGGAGCATATTTCGCTGAACTGACACGCACAGTCACTGACAAATAAGTTTGAGTGAGTGTACAATGTGTGTGTTAATAGTTTTTGTTACCTCTTTAGGACCTTTTTGGGTATGATGCCGGCATTAGTTCTTATGGGAACCAAAGCATAGCCGTATTGTGGTGGGATTTCACATTTGGGTTACTGGTTAGGGGTCATTTGTAAATTGTAGATTAGAGTTTAGATTAGGCTAAATAAATGAAAGGAGGCCTCCTAAAAAGGATAGAAACAAGAAATGTGTGTCTATGAGTGTGAGTGTTCAAGAACAGGGGCTGCAAGCAAAATGTGTTTTTATGAGCCAATTAAATGACACCACCATTCTTTAGCCTGGGGCACACCTGAAGGCGAGCAGCAGCTCAAAGTCGTAGCCCTCCAGTGACCGCTGTGTTACAGTGGCATTACAAACACGCATTTTTTCCCTTCTTTTACATAAAAGATCAATGAGTCTGTCACTTTGCTTTTTCCCGTGGAACAGGCTGGCAGAATTATTTTCAAGGGTCCAATTTGTAAGTCATTGTGGAGATTGTGTCAAGCAGCAGGATATCCAAATGAGGAGGGAGGAGAAATCAAGAGAGTAAAGGAAGCACAGGAACATACATCAACGTGTCATCAGCAAACACGTCAGCATGTCACCGGTATGTAGCAGTAAACTCTGTCACTGGTGTCCAAAACTCTGCTTTAAAAGCAACGCTTTGGACTTTACTAATTCATACAGCCCTGTGTTTAACTCTAACAAAATTTTTTAAAGTTTGGTCTACTTTTATAGCAATTAACTGCAATCTGTTGATCCAATATATATATATATATATATATATATATATATATATATATATATATATATATATATATAATTAAAAAAAGGCCAGAAACTAACATTTATTATTTGTGATTTTAGGACACCAAGTATACCTGCAGTAAACTGTGTCCTTTGCTTGTGAGCAAGTTTCAATCTAGGCCACTAGTCAAGGTAAAGGAAAAGTAGTCTTTTATCACATCGGGGAAAAAAAACAGCTCTTTGATCTTTAATCCTCTCACTTTTGTTTGAAAATCAAATGTATTAAACTTGGGAATAACAACAATAACAGCATGATGAGTAGATTAAAAAAAGCACAAAGGCACCACACTAAAAAGCCTTGCATTTGATTATCTCCAATAATGAATATGTCACATTAGCAAAGAGCGGCTCAGGTATGAAACTCACAAAAGCACCAACAAGCCCAATCTCTTGCTCTTCTTCATAATTACCTACCCCTGCAGCAGTAAAGATCCCTCTCTCATTCTCCCCTTTGGTCACTAGGGACTGATATGAAAGGCAATTGGACACCTGGGGCCACAAATATTGTAATTAAAAATCTCTCATTTTCTTGATATGTTGTTTGGAAACATCATTTCAGTGTGCAACATGCATTTGTTAGGGATCTGACCTAAATATACAGGAGATTAAACAGAGAAAAGCACCAGGTCTTTGTTTCAGGTTCCTACTCATTAGGTGAGAAAATGAGGTGATTCAGCCACGATAGAAAGGAAAAAATAGAAAGGTGGTCTCCATGCAAAGGAGATGCAACCTTAAGGTTGAACTCAGCAATTAAGACCTCAAAAACTTCACCATGTTTTACTAACCAAGCTAATATATTGGGATGCACTAAACAAGTGACACTACTTACAGGGATGGTCACAAAAATACGCTTAGTCGTGCCTTTGAAAGTGTTATTGAGGGATCCTGTCTTACTGAAGAAATATGCACTGGAATTCTCTTTATGCATGGTCCTAAAGAGTCCATAGTGTCCCAAAAACAACAGTGAAATCAGGCTGGCAGGAAGGTAAGGCCTCTTTAAGACCCCTTCTCTCTGTTACAGCTGGAGCTCAGATCACCAGACAGTTCATGGGAGGTGACAGCCATCTTTAGGAGCGGCTTGTCAAAAAACA